GATGATGATGATGATGATGATGATGATGATGATGATGATGATGATGATGATGAAGCTACTGTTGTTGTTCTTGTTGCTGTGTTTGTTATTTTTGTTGTTGTTGCGGAATACGTGTAGCATAGTCTTTTTATATATCACATCGCATACTTATCTCTATGGCGTGGCTACCATTAATGTATAAAGTAGTACATTAGGTCAAATGTAATGGCCATTTCGCAGGTCAATAGTTCAAGTTGAAGAGCACACGTAACGAAATGTCAGTGGGCGGGCCAGCCAATAGACCATTGTTGGGGAATAGTAAATGACACGTAAATGTTGCGTAACTTCGCCGTACACGTCACGACGCATTTCAACGCGCAATGTTCTTACGTGACAAATAATGCTGCTTTCTCTTTGATTACAAATATTTAATTTTGATTTAAAATTTTTAAAAATTTATAATTGTGCTATGAAAAAGGAGTATTATGATTTTTTAAACAATCTAGTCCTTTTGACGTTCCTTCAAATAAACTAGGAACGAACATAACAAAGCTGACTACTACTGCAACAAAAGGCACATGATAAACTGGTTTTTAAAAACATACTGTTGTTCTGTATTTTTAAGCGGACTTGGATTTCTACTAAATTCCACATTTATTTGATTATCTCAATTATTGAAATTTTCATACGTCACGCATACGATTTCATAAAGAATATGGGATTCATTTCAAACATAACATACAAAATTTTATTGGATAGGATTTCATTTCTTAAATTAAAAAACCACCTTCGAGCTAATATGCAGCCCTAAAACAGAAAGAAGTAAATTGCTAGCTATATTTGAGAAACAAAACAAGATTACTTTCTCAGAAGGGAGTTGTAGGCCAAGGATATGGCTGATCACACGACTGGCATTTTTATAAACTTTTGGGGAGGTTTTTTTAAATAGTATTTGGAACCCAAATCGCCTTAACTGGCAGACCGCTGAGTGAAAAGTTTGGAGGTGGGGATTTCTTTTTTTCTTTTTGTTGTTGTCGTTGTTGTCGTTGTTGTTGTTGTTGTTGTTGTTGTTGTTGTTGTTGTTGTTGTTGTTGTTTGGGTTGGGGAGGGAGGGGGTGGTAAGTGTTTTACGACGCTCGCAACTGCACAATGTCATATGAGCCAGCAGGACGCATTAAACATTTTCAATTGGTAGGAAATTTTGAATTTTGCCCGGGTAGCGGCGGAAGCCTACTCTTATCGATTTTAGGCCACCAAGGGATCTTTAACGTGGGCAAATTGCACACGCGACATCCGAGATTTGTTGCAATTGTCCGAAAGGCTAGGTGTAGATCTGTCCTACCATAAGATCAGGGGTGTGGCTGAAAGACAGCAGTAAGAAGGAGCCAAGGGGAAGCAGTTGAAAGGCTGCAGAAAGAGTCGGGGGGGGGGGGCAAAGGAGATGAGGGGATGGGGGCAGAAAGTGTAGACGAAAACAGACGACGGAACATTGCTAGAGAGCGGGAAAGGAGGTGAAAGGAGATAATTTTAGAGAAAAAAATTTTTACGTCGCTACCCGGATTCGAGCCCGAGACCTTTGAATGAGATGCGAACACCTTAACCTCTAGGCCACGAGAGCCTCCCTGAGTGAAAAGTCCTAGTCAGGTAGCCTATTATAGCCGTCGTACCCTTTGAAGAGTTACGACAAAAAGAAAAAACAATCTAAAGTGCAGTCAATATTATCATAACAATAATACCATTCAACAGTTTCATTCCAGAAATGAAGAAAAGTTTAACGTACATTTAATTTTGCTGGAGCTTTCTGCCGACTTTTAAAAATTACGAATATGCTACCCCTTCCCCCTAAAAAATATGTTATCCCCAACTCACAGAGACCTGGTTTAGTCATAACAAATTAAATTACTATGAAAACATGGGAGGGGATGGGAGGGAGTGGGAGGGAGTGGCTGGATTGTGCCGTTATTCACTCTCTTTAATAGAAGTTTTTGAGTAGGAAAAATCAATAAAATGGCTTTTTTTCTAGAAACTACGTCAAATCCATAGGGGCGGGTTCCAGCTCGTACAAAATAGTCCTAAACTAGTATAAATTAATTTCTCGCTCGGAGACCAACGTGTTCATCATGGAAAGTCTCTTTTTGTTCGGAACAGAGGAAGATTTACTGAAAACGAGACGTGCCTTGGCTTCACTCACACATGACCAAATCCTTAGCACCCCATTCTGACATTTAAAAATTTGCCTCCTTAAATTAGAACTCATTTTGGGTTTTTTATACCTAGACTACTTTTAATGGTCAGGTGCATCCCTCTTTAATCAGTTTAATTCTTTATTAATATTTCTCTTTTCTTTCAGTTTTGTACTAAAAATAGCAAGACTAAGATACTCCTTTTTCAATCCAAACTCAAGATTGTTCTTTATAGTCGTTATAAGATTTGCCATTGATGTGTTGATCAAGTTTTCTGAATTTCACTGAAATTTGTAGGCTTACCGGAGAGAGAGATAGATAGATAGATAGATAGATAGATAGATAGATAGATAGATAGATAGATAGATAGATAGATAGATAGATAGAGGAGAGAGCGAGAGAGAGAGAGAGAGAGCGCGCGAGAGAGAGAGAGAGAGAAAGAAAGAGAGAAAGAGAGAAAGAGAGAGAGAGATGTAATCTGATTTTCTATTTCTTAGCCTAGATAGTTAGTGAAAAGATCAACACGGAATCAAGCTTTCGCAACAACGGCAGCAACGTATGTGCCTGACACCCATATCGATCAATTTTTTCGAAAAGTTCGTTCCAAAAAACAACAACAACAACCACAACAACAGCAACAACAACAACAACACCTGAAATCTTAACCCAACACGATGAATCATATGTATTACAAAGAGGACGTGCAGGCTAACATGTTTTGGAAGGGGAGTGGGTTGCATCCCAAAAAAATATAGAAAAGCAACACACACAAAAATGGTGTATTTTCAAAAATGGCTGTCTGCATGGTTCAATTCAAAATTTTATCGTGTGATGTTGAACGTGTACTTATGTGTTTTAAATAAAGGTGGTACATGTTTGCGCTTTGCACAACATAATTAGAACAGAGCTAAATGCTGTATACCCCTAACCAACCTCACTATTTTCCAGCAGTGCCTTTGGTAACTGAAAGCTATGGTCTTGGTCCCTTTCAGTTTCTGACAGGCCGGAGAGCGCTGTTATTGTTTTGTTCTTTTCGTTTGGAACAAAGGCGTCATACGACAAAATATTGAACCCATAATCGATTCTGAAAAATCGGAAACAATAGAGAAAAGAGATCATATTTCATTTGGAAAGCCTTTCTGTCAACGGTGCAATCATTGTGGGCATTTTTCAGATTTGTCGTAGGCATACTTTCCGGAACTGTCGAGTTTTCTGGGTCTCTCTGTTTTTCCGGACATGTCGTGATATGTCGGTGACGGCCGGAGACAGGTATTTGTCGGATTTCTGCCTACTTGTCACCGCCATAAACACAGCGGCCAGCCTTTCTTTTCAGTCACCCTCGCCTACGGTAAAACCACAGTTGGAGTAGTGCGATCACTTTCATTCTTTTTATCTTTACTCCGAAATGTCGAAAAGCCATTTTGTAAATCTTGATGTTAGTAAAACGCTTTACAATTCAAAGTAAAAACACACCAACGAGTTCATTTTGCGTTCTTGTCACTTTAGCAAGCGAATCTAAATGATTGTGATTCTCAAAAATTAGAGGGTCCCCCAAATAATGTTTTACAGTAAACGACGGTGATTTTGACCAATATAATCAATTTAGAGGGCTACGAAAGTTGCGGTGCGTGGATCCGCCCTTAATAATAAAATTGTGTGACGACGAGTTTAGTAGATGGTGTACCTGCATCCACTTTTTACTGTTTGTGGAATGTTCTTGGCCAGGTTCTAGTATTGTTTGAAAACTTGTGTAAGGGCGTGTATTTCTTTTTTATTTCGCATAAAGCCGTCAAGACATAGGTTATCATGTTTAAAGATCCTCAAAGAACGAAGATATTTCCTACCCTCTAAAATTCGGACTGTGAACTTACACATTGATCTGTACATCAAATCAGTATGCCTTACTCTGTCTGCTCTTCAACATAGTATGTGCATTGCGTAGGTAGTTGGTTCTTGTGAAGAGAAGTCACATTGATAAAAAAGACTCGGAATATTATTGTTTCACAAAGAAGCGTTTGTTTTTATTAAACCCAAAACATAGTGATGTGAAGGTTTAGTAATATTGGTCATGCCAAATAAATCTAGTTAAAGACCCCACTTCACCATATTTCAATTCAATTCAGCTCAAATTAACTCAGCTCAATACAACTTACATAGCTCAACGCAGTTTGGCTCAATCCAACCCTTTTCAGTGGAGTTCTGTCCAATTTAATGCTACGTAACTTAGTATAACTCGACACTCATCCTTTCAGTTCAACTAAATTAAACTCAAATTTGGTTGAATTCGGTCTTATGAAACTCAACATGCCGTAGAGTAAATAAAGCAACAAAAGATCAAACAAAACAAACAAAAACAAACAAAAGCCACAAAAAAACTGCACTCAACTCAATTGTATTCAACTTTACTGAAATCAGTTATTATTTCTTCCTCAGGTCGCTAAAGAAGATTCAAGACTCGAGGCGTGGCTTTCATCCACGCAGCGATTCGAGGAATTCCATAGTTTTTCCATGGCTTGACACGCCTGCATCATCATCATCATCGTTTGACGTCATCCACGGGGACTGAAATTACGTATTCGTGATCTTACAATTATAATAAGGCTTACAGAGTAGGCACACAATGCGAGCTATCAAAGTAGGAAGCTGTACAGTGGCTTCGTTAGGTATCGAAATTCTTTTAGAACTTCCATCGCTCAATAGTTTTTCCATATCAGATAGAGTGACTGTATGCAAGCCAAAGGTCAAAAACGGGCTCTTTAAAAATTGCATTGTGTGCTTACCCCCATTCGGCTAACGCGGGAGTCGATATGACTGAGGTCTGCATGAAGTTCTTCTAACAACAATTCTCTAGACAGTTGCTACTCTAGCGTTCTTTCCAGGAAAAGACAGAATTCTTGTTAGCTTTCTCAATTAATGGTCGGAATCATAGGGTATCTAAGTACATTTTTAAAAATAGTTTTCACACTGATCAAGACGTTCTGTTACTGTCTGGTTTTCAATGACAACATGCATTATCTTGTAGTGGAGACGTGGCGCGTCCTTTTCATATTAATGATACATGTAATATGTGTGTGGTAAAGTTTAGAATTGTGGACTGTCGTTATTCTTGTTTGATGGTGTTTGCTACTGTCGGAATTGTGAACTAATTTTAAAAAATTAACTAAATCCATAATTATTTCAGCTCAGATGGGAAAGTGATGTAAGAATGGTTTTAAAAGAGGTAAAGTTTTGAATTCTGGAACTTCCACATCATTCTTGTCTGGTCAGTCTCTCCTGCCCTCTTTTCAAGACTACTTGACCACTTTATTCTGTTCTTACCGCCCTCACCCCACACACCCAAATCCCCAATCTACGGCCACCATCCCCCCCTCCACCCACCCCCTCCGCTATTCGGTCTCTCTATCCCGTTCTGCTTCTCTGTTTCTATGTCTCCCTCTATCTCTCTCTCTTTCTCTCTCTCTCTATCTTTCTCTCTCTCTCTCTCTCTCTCTCTCTCTCTCTCTCTCTCTCTCTCTCTCTCTCTCTCTCTCTCTCTCCCCTTTCTGCCTTTCTTTCTTTCCCTAACTTCCTCGATTCGAAAGCCTAGTTGGTTGTTAAGTCATACCATGCCAATTTAGTCATTCATCAATGTGAAGCAAATATGTATTGAATTCTCACCGAAGGGATATTTCTGTCCCAGAACTCAATCGTTTTCTTCGTGATACATGTTCCCCGGTTGTGAAGTATTAAAAAAAGATAAATATGGATTTATAACAGAGTTTTGTGACTTATAATTTCTCAAGATTTACGTTCAGATGTTGTGTGGCCTGTGAGCTCTCTCTCTCTCTCTCTCTCTCTCTCTCTCTCTCTCTCTCTCTCTCTCTCTCTCTCTCTCTCTCTCTCTCTCTCTCTCTTTCTCTCTCTCTCTCTCTCTCTCTCTCTCTCACACACACACACACACACACACACACACACACACACACTCTCTCTCTCTCTCTCTCTCTCTCTCTCTCTCTTTCTTTCTTTCTTTCTTTCTCTCTTTCTCTAGCTCTCTTCTCTCGCTTTCTGTCGAAAAAAATCAAGATGATACACAAAAAATATAGTTGTCATAAAAACAATTAGATACAGGGCGTATCTCTATGTCCTGTTATACCATTAGAGGGCTTGCAATTCGAACTAAGGTGCAGAGCGTGTATTTCTTACCTAAAATCATGTTTAGATGGAAAGGGTGCAAACAAAATTGTAGATATCTATGTCTCACTTGTTTATAACTTTATGTCATGCATACTTGAAAGAGGTGTAGATTTTCTAATCCAATACTGAACCATAACGTGGTCAACATTGGTTCGCTGAAACTTGCAATTCTCACTCTTGGCCGTCCCTTCTGTATTCAGACCTTGAATTTATGAGCGTCAGTGGAAATTGATGAAATCTGCAGCTGTGCAACAGCGGTCGGGCTACCCAGCACTGTGCAATCAACGGATTATACAAGTTGTACTATAGAACCCCCTCTGGGAGCCCGACCGTGGGAAAACTGTGAGCGGCACAGGCGCTGTGGGTCCAGAATCGTAAAGCCCCGTATATATTCATTAATGGCAGTCGGGTATTGCAGATGGACGCTTTGGACTCTCCGGCTGTTCTGGGTTCATTAAGAACAAAGTTCAATTGTTATGAGTCTCGACAGGAAGCGAATAGTTTCCCCGCTGTGGTCCTTCGGTGTCCACTAATGAGGGTCTCCAACTTAATTATACGACCACCGTGATTAAGAGACAATGTGATCAGTAGTATCTGTTTAAGCTTGGGACAGGCTAGATTTTTTTGTTGTTGGAGATATAGCACAATCAAAATGAAAAGCATCTTTGGGTATAGTAATATCACATGAGACAGCACTTCTGATTATTCCATCAATTGCTCTTTGGACATTAAGATTACGCCTTGTTAAAATACCCCTTTAAATATAATAAAATAGTCTTAGATAATATGATTTAAAAAGCGACCTGTGGAAGAAACGTCATAGCTGATCTGAGTAGTTAGACTTCTGTAACTGCAACTTAAAACATCTTTAAGATTGAAAACTGATGAAATCTCGGGCCCCTCTCATCCTGCTTAGGTATAGAGCTATTGGAAATACTGAAATGAAAGGGAACTTGAGAAGATGTAAAAAAAGGAATAAGACAGGACTTAATTGAATTTTTTAAATGCCCAGGCATCCAAAGCAAAATTTTAATGATCGCATTCGTCTTGATGGGGTGTAAATACCTACAATAGAAAAAAACCCAACCGTTCCACTGAAATTTAAAGGAAAAAGTGTGTTTTTGTCTTATTCATTAAACATAACATGTCTACTATCTCACCGCTATGTGCTTGTTATAATTAATTGACAAAATCAGATTTTTTTCCAGGACACATTCACGATGCTCATTTTTAAATGGTACTACTACACGTAGTTGCTGGATGGATAGCGGTTCCCCTGCGTTGCACGATGTTTGAAATATTAATTTTGTAAGTGTGACAAAATCTATCTTTCACTCTCCATTAATTTCCATTTTTCTTTTTCTGCAAGCATTATACAAGAGGTAATTTCATCAATTTTTAAGTGATTTCTGTCCTAAAACTTCGTTTCTATAGCAACAGAAGCACTAAAATGGAAAACAAAACTTTGAGTTATTTTAGGTGAATGGTAACTTTGCCTTGCATCATATTTTTCTCAACCCATTTTTCTCATACTTTAATGTTTGTCATAGCAGTACATTTTTGCTTGACCTAAGCAGTCGCTCTGGACGGACTGTTTCCGTTTCCCGATTGTTGAAGACTTCAAAAAGGAGGTCTACGCAAAGTATTCTAAGTAGGCCTACTGTGACTTTTTAAAATGAATGATGCAAAAAAAAATTCTTCGTTGAAATGGTATCGAAATAAGTAAATAAAGTAGTGTTTACCTTCCTAAGCTTAATAACCACGGTTAAGCATAATACACGTAGAAAAAGGCAATTGGAACTAGATCACCTTGATAACTGAAAAATAGCTGTGACAATGTGACAACATTTTGTACATAAATAACTGGTATTGAAAATTCAGATAAATCTATTCTCATTCAACATGTTGTGTTTTGACACCATGCTTCAGGAGGGTAAAAGAAATGTCCGGGGCTTGCTGCCTCAAACACAGTTCTGAAAAATTGTTCGCCTCAAATTGTGAATGATCGCAAGTCATAAGCAGCGTCGGCTTTAAAATTTTGTCCATGGGTTTCTAATAGTTACTAATAGTTCTGTTAGAGTTCATATGGACAAAACGAATGGCCCCTTTGTGTGGGTTCAAACTGAAACTGTCTTGACTGTCTTGTCGAGGTTTGAGGAGGTAGGGATAGCTAATCATCTGTTCACTTGTTCCGACAAGAAAGATTGTTTTTAAAAACAATGATAGCTGAGAACATTGCAGGCTAATGAGAAAAGGAAGATGAAAGTTACTGTTTAAAGACACTAGTTACATGACACATACAAGAGATGATGTACAAGTGATGACTAGGTCAGTGGTAATTTGAGGAGAAACGACCAATGATTTATGAAGATGTGTGAGAACGGTCTAAACATTTCGAGACAAGGATGAGCCACTTGAGCCCTTCAAATTGAACTACATTCATGATGAAAGTAGTCTTGCAGGTGACGCTGGGGTAAAAAGACGAATCTGTCTCAGAGGGTATCAAATAACCTGAACGAGCCATGAATTATACAAAGAGTAATATAAGCATCAGGGTTGCTGGGACAGCTGATGGCTAGTTAATGGACTATTGCGTCATCTATCCATTAACAGAACCGCTTGTATTTGTGTCAGTGTCTCTCCTTTTGAATAACTTGAAGACAATGTAGAAAGAGGTCATAGTGTCAGTGAGCGAAATGGTATTATAATCAGATATTACAACAGTATAGCAGAAGGTAAACGACTGGATGGTCTGAAACAATTACGAGGAGTGATTTCTCTTCTTTCACTTTCTGGTCCTTACGCTCATCAACAGGCTGGAAGAAAGATAGACTCGATAGACGCTACTCATTGGGGACCAGTTAAGCCCTCAGATCAGGTTATCAGAAACGGAAGAATTCGCTGAATTGAATATATAGGATTGGTGCTACTGCCTGCAGACAGTTCAGGCACTGAGTGGAAGTCTCATTCTGCCACCACATGACTTCTGCCAACCCTGCAATGAATCAATCAGCGTTGCATGCTGCGTCTTCGCCTGGCGGGAAACTACCCGACACTGAAAGTAATGAGAGCTCTGATAACATTAATGAGGAAAGACTACATCCAGAATCAAATCGAGTTCACATGGGTTAGGTTGGGTTTTTTTTATGATTTTGATACCAAAAAAATATTTCGTTAAACTTAAACTAGTTAGAGGAGTGGACTCGGGGTGCTTTTCAAATTCTGGGACATGTTTAAATACTGGTTGTCGTACAGAATGATCAGATAAGAAATGTTCTGTATCATACGTGGACGCGAATCTTACACCCACACGATTTTCCATTGTAAATCGGTGTTTGTACCATTTCGATTTTGATTCTTATTCAAAGTTATCTGTGTTTCTAAGTGTGTTGTTTAGTGTGTATGTGTGAAGAGAGAGAGAGAGAGAGAGGGGGGGAGAGAGGGAGGGAGAGAGAGAGA